AGTAAAAAAATGTGTGATCTACAAGAATATCTTTAAATTCAGAAAAATATATGAATACTAGACGAGTGAAAATGTATTTTGTGATGTATAAATTAAGACTGTTCATAAGAAAAAAAAAAGAGAATGAAGATACCCAAGGCGGAATCATAATGAACAACTGGCGCGCATTGATATATGTCATATTTAAATATGAAAGGATGAGTAAGAGTTGTTTCGCGTCAGATAAATACGTGGAAAAATAATAGACTTTTCAGCATATTTGTTTATAAAAGCCAAAATATAATTAAAAAACATTATATCTGTACATGGCATGCACTTTAGAAAGCTATTAATCTAATAATGTAATAATAAAGAGAAGGAAGAGGGAGACAAACTACTTATAACACGTCTAGTACATACATATTATCTATCACATTTTTTAAATGCAGTAGACAAATGCAATAATCATATTAACGGATAGAATATAATTTCGTACTTCTTTTTATCTTTTCCGATTATCGAATGATATATACCACTGTACCGTGCTTACAACGCATCAAAGACGTATTTTACGTGCGAATCATGTTTTCTGATAACGAAATATTTTCATTGCTAATAATCCGATAATAATGAATTACAATTTTTACTAATAATTTTCACGTCAATTTCTAGTTTTTCAGCAATGTAGAGAAAATATAAAAGTGTTTTTCTCTAAGCACGCGTTTTTTTTTAACTATAAACTTTTTAATAAAGGTCGAGTCAAAAGAAATGGCCGTTCAAAGAAAAGTGTCGAAAGGACCATTCTGTATAAATATTATAATACGCTATATATATGCTTTATACCGATAATTTATATGTCAAGAAATATAAAATATTGCATTTATAAGTAAAGATTAGATAAATATCTTGATTTTCGAGGACATGTCCTTCAAACTTGTAAATTTCATCATGCTCTCGTATGATAATTCCCCCCTTCCCCATAATTAAATATTTAAATGTATTTCTTCGAAACTCTCTTAGAAATCTCGTACGTTAGATCAATAACATTTTAATTTATTTAGTAAAACATATGTATTAGTCGAACGTGTTAGTTTCTTTTATTCATTAGCTGTTATTCGAATAAGATTTCGCTCATCTTTTATCCGAAAATACGCATCGGTCTACAAACGGATTAACACATCTCGATGTATGTGTATCACTGTAAATATTAGCACACGCGTATATAAGTTATAGCGCAACTGTAAAAACAACAGTGCGCAAAATAAAATATTTAGTAAATTGAATACGCGGTACATGTGTCTTTGTCTCATTGTGTGCATGTATGTGTAATCGGATATCTAACTAAAAATAGACACTGATAAATCATACGAAAGGACAATGATATAGTCGCATCGAATAATTATTAAACAGGTACGAGTTTAACGAACCGCAATACAATTGCGAACAATACAAGAAATATCCTGTATCTGCGATTAAACAAAAACTGATATTTACAAGATTCTCTCAATGGCAATTATATTCAACTGTTGAAAAAATATGGAAAGGACAAGTGCTATGCAAAAGAAAATCAAACGATAATTTTTATTTTTCCTTTGTTCTCTCTGTGTCAAATCTCCACATTTTTGCTAAAGAATTTTTCAATATACTATTATATCTTTGTAAAAGTCCTTCAATGCAATAATAATAATAATAATAATAATAATAATAATACTATTTTGTGGGATAAGAAGATGATACTTTTCAAAAAAAATTGTAAAGATATTTAAATAGAAGAAGGAAAATTTAAAACACAGAGCAAGGCTTAAAAACTATCTTTCATTCTATAATTTTTCTCTTTACAGAGAGTATATATAACTATTTTAATAAGAATATTCTAATAAGAAAAATATATTAACATATTTTAGATATTATATGTATATGCGTATATTTTTGAAATAAATCTCCAAATTTTGTTACATTTAAATAAATATTTGTTGGCAAAATTTCATGGAGGAGCGGTCGAAGACCGGCGCGATTCGGCAATCGGGCGGGAGGAGACGAATCGTAATACGAAACGACGGTGATTCGCGCGCGTCGATGTGAGAGTAGAGAAAGAAGGTGGGAGTCGCGCGGCGTATGTTGGCCTACGTGACTGACTGCACTTCTCGCTCTCGTTCCCACTCTCCTCCTCCTTTGTGTGTGCATAATACTCCTCTCTCGCGAATCATTACATTTTTGGAATCCTGACCTTGTCTATCGCATTCACCTCGGCGTGTCATCGCGACGTTCCGTGTCCAAAAAAATGGCATGTATCACGTAGCACTTGTCGCGCGTCGTCCGTTAACTCTTCCCGTCTTATAAGCCTCAATTTTGATTACAAATACGTGAAAGATAAGGATATTATCTCGTTTCGTTTGGTTAATTGAAATTCGGATCACGTGGATATTAAATACGTAGCTATTTTACATTGGGGGCGCGCTGTTCAAGATAAACAATTATAATTTCTTTTAAGATTTTGTATATATAATTATCATGTAAGAAAAATGTAGCGTGTACTTACTTTTGTTCTCCCGTTGATCGTATAGCTTCCTATCTTTCCGTTATTGTGCATTTTATTGGCTCTCATGATGATTGCATCGACCCGCGATATCAGCGTGCCAATATTCTCACACTGATGTTCCTTCCCGTCCAACCATATTATCTGATCACCACGTATTGTCTTTAAGTCATTTGCGCTACCTTTATTAGAAACCAACTGTCCGTCCTTAAATAATCCAGCACTGTACATATATAAAACCTCGTTTAGCACTGCGAGACCTTTCTCCTTGCCTAAAAACTTGTCCACCACGCATACACCGTATTTGTCCATGTCTCTTATCACATATTGGCAAATTTTGTCTATAAATTCTTCAAGATTATTTCTATTCCTATGTAGAAAAGGGGGCAAAAGTTCTTCCTCCTGACCCAGCCGCACTTCCGGAAAGTTCTTCATGCCGTTACGATGCTGGGTAGACAGGCCGAGATCCGTGTTGCTTAAACTGTCAAAAATTCTCGAGCTCTCTAAAGCGGGATTGAGGAGCTCGGCTCGTGCTCCCAGTATAGCGTCCTCCGAACTTCCTTCGTACGTTATAGGCGACGTCCAACCATCGGCTTTGTTATTACGCGCGTTTCTCTTCTTCCCACCGTTTGATTTCTTCTTAAGATTCTGATTCTCCTTCCGTTCTTGTTGACGACTCGATCCGTTCTCTCCTTGTGTCATAGAATCTGTAATCAGACGCGTGTATATATATAAACTTTCTGTCAATTTTAACACATTGACGGATAATTGCAAGATGCGATAATTGAAACGTTGCTGGAAAATATTTATATATCGACGACAGTGTAGTGTCTTAGGAGTATCCAACGATGATACATCGTAGGGCTCGCTATTTATATCGCAAATTTATCGCCAACGAGATTTATTGTTCATTACTGCGCAACAGCATGTGCGAAACCACGGGGAAACCCGATAACGCGGGTTCCAGGTTCCAGCTCTCTGATAGAGAAGAAAGACAAAAAAAAACACAAACGTACCTGCGAAATGCTTCACGTTCCGATACGACAACGGCAACGGCAACGACTCCAAGGTAACGTTGGACGCATCCGAGACGGGGACGTTGCTTAGGTTAGAAACCAGAGTGTTGGGCGTTATGACGCGGGATTTGCCGACGGGATGACGCTGCTTGGACGGGATCTCGCGATTCCTAGTCTTGGCCGCTCCTGGTAACGGCTCGTCCTCGGTTATATCGCGCGCGGGGTGAGTCGCGCAGAACTCCCTGTGACGTTTCCAGTCGCGTCTCTGGTGCTCCCTGGTGCAATAGAAGACGGCCTTGCAGCGCGAGCACCTTTGCAGCTTGTCGGTTTTCTCGCAGACCGCGCAAATCAGCTGCGACGCGTCTGTACGAGCATCACCGTCGCCGTGTGTGGTCTGCGCGCCACTGACTATCGGTCCGGACATCTCGCTCAATTTATAGTTTTTTTTCCTCACTCCGACAATGCCGTCGCGCGTCGCGGCGACATTTCTTCCACGAGGAAAGTCACACGCGCTAGCTCGCCGCCCGCTACAGCCTATAGCTCGCAGCCCGCTACTCCGATATTCCGATTTCCGATCCGCGTTAAGGCCGTTGGCTACAGCTACAGGTATACAGGCTACGTCGGCTACGATTACGGAATCCCGCTTATCCCTTTCATCCGGTTCGCGCTGCCGCTGCCGCTGCTGTTCAGTGTTGTTGCTGTGTCGCGGCAAGCTGGACTGGCGCCTGCGCCTCCGGTCAGCAACATTGTATGTATCTCCGCGTACATACACGCCCGGAGTCACACGTCGAGTCGTAAAAGTTCACCCCTTTCTGTTTTTCAAAATTTAAAATTCCGTTATCGAAAAGTACGATGAATAAAGATGCGGAATAAAACTTCGGCATTTATATTCAACCAATAGTCATGGTGTGTGGAAATCTAGATGCGATGCGCTCGATCCAAGCGCGCCTAGTAACTAGTGTTCTAGTGTTTTCGAAGAAGCGAGAGCTCGATTGGTCATTTTATTATCTAGCGTTACTGTGTCCTACGTCACGAATATTATAGGCCGCGTTCCATTTAACGCCTGCAACGCTCACGGTATCATTTCATCCTTTTTCTTCACCGAATATCTTTTAGTATATTAATAGAAAGTGACGGAAAAAAGTTTAGCTACTTATAATATGAATATGCAACGATCTAAAAATTTTACGGTTATAACATTTCATTCTTCATATTGGCAATCTTGTCGACAAGTTTTAACGGTTGAAAAATTAAATTTACCCGTCGAAAAATGAATAAATATGAAGAAATATTGCGATTCACAGAGATATTCCGCAAAGTGTATATATGATATCGTCATTTCGAATCGAAAAGATATAAAAGCACAAGACGAGACGAGAGGCGATACAAAGAACGCGGAAATCTCGGTGTAGCGCGACCGAGTAACCGATCCGATATGATTGGATCGTCGTGTAACTTTCACTGCGATTGGTCGTCTTACGTAAAGCGCGATTACCCGTAACGTGTGCATATGTATGCGTGTATATGTATACCCCTCGACTGTCAAGTGTTCGTCTTACACAACATCTCTCGTTCTCGTACACAACAGTACGACAGTATGACGTATGACAGTATTTTCGCAAGCGCACAGCTGTCAACTTGTCATGTGAAATTGTAACGGCGTAAAGACGACGGATCTCGCTCTTCGACGTCTCTTCTTTCAACGGGTAAATTAGATCCTTCGGATACGGATAGAAATAGGATATTGGAGATAGCGATATATAAATGTATCGCGGCTATCCCTGCGATTATCTCAAATTTATTCCATTTATCGTTGCGGATAAAAAATTTCCTCTTGTCGAACGGATGCGGGTGCGTGAAAAATCTGTCAGATATTTATATTTTTTTCAATTTGGATCGCGTTTTATTTCAGATTCTATAACGCGTACTTGCTTGAAAGACGACAATATGCGTTGACACTCGACCAGATTGCACAATTTTGTCTCTCTCTTTCTCTCACTCACTCACTCACTCACTCTCTCTCTCTCTCTCTCTCTCACTCTCTCACTCACTCACTCTCTCTCTCTCTCTCTCTCTCTCTCTCTCTCTCTCTCTCTCTCTTGGCAAAATCGCGATTGATGTTTACGCTACATGTATGAAACGCCAAGCGGATAGGAATATATATGCGTTTATGTATGTGTGTCTATTTTTATGTCTGAGATAGATAATAAGTTATTTTTTTCACTTTCCATCGTAATTTCGAAGAAAATTTAATATTAATTAACAATGGTATAATCTCAACAAGTGTTGCGCCAAATAAGGCAATAGTTTAATCGGGCGCGTAAATTAATGCAACCAATGCTACTTGTCAGTCACTTGTGGTTCAAGAGCAAATGTTATCTACATGCCATATTGTTGCAGATTATAAAGATGGCATTGATAGGATCAAACGCTTGAGTACAATACATGTTGCCCAAGGGCAAGCAAAATTTTCAGTACTACAGTAATGTATGCACAAATACTAATAATCTACAGAAGAAGAATTGGATTTAAATATTGGAAGATGTCTGTAATGGACATTTGTACGCAAGAGGAATAAATAAACTGATAGATAAATAATTGAATAAATTGCTGTCAGAGAAATAAGACACAGGAAGCGGATGTGTTTATGCGTTTGCATTTGTACCTTTACTAAATATTATGTCGGGCACTGGACCAATTATATCGCAAACTATTGCTCGTCTACCGGAGAAGGAGCATGAATCTGTCTCGATTGTAGATTACTCCAGTGTCAGGGGAAAGGTACATTGAGATTCTATGCTAAATTTATATTTCTTTTCATAAGTTCTTTATAATATAATACATATATTATAAATTTTCTTTTTTAGAATGTCTTGGTCAGTCCATCCGAGGATCAATACGAACTACTGCTAAGAAGATTGAGAGAAAGGATTCAGGATGGAGGCAGCGAGACGATCTTTGAAATTGGTATTGCCGAAGGTACAGATTTTTCAAAATGTTTTGAAAATAAAAAAAGAAATGTGCAATTATATCGTTTTTACACATTATTATATTAATTGGAAATCTTTGAATCGACCAAGTCTTAAACAAATTCTTATGTAATGTACTTAGATGGAACTGAGGGTGGATTAAAGGAGGACGAGTATGATGCGTCGGTTGCTACTTTACAGTCCCTTGCTGCAACATTGGAAGCAGATTGTGTACTTTTACGTCAAATTAAAGCAGATCACGGACTTACGGGACAATATCTAGTGAGGAAACGTCTCGATCGACAAGATTTCTTAGAGATCAGGTTTTCATTTAACGACATTATTCTCTAAATCATTGTCGGCAGTCTTATAATTTTTAATATAAGGATAATTATTCAACAACTCTTTAAAGGGTTGCTGTTGTTGGTAATGTGGATGCCGGTAAATCGACGCTATTAGGAGTTCTGACTCACGGCGAACTTGACAATGGACGAGGCCTGGCACGTCAAAAATTATTCCGTCACAAGCACGAGGCTGAAACAGGCCGGACCAGCTCAGTTGGAAATGACATACTCGGATTCGATAGCGTCGGTGAGCATTGGCAGCTCTTCGTTGCATATTTCTATATTATTTTTCACCTCTTACTATCAAATCGTTACGGATTTGCAGGGAATGTAGTTAATAAACCTGAGCATGGATCGCTAGATTGGGTGAAAATATGTGAGAAATCCTCTAAAGTAATAACGTTTATCGATCTCGCCGGCCATGAGAGATACTTAAAGACAACTGTCTTTGGAATGACGGGACACGCTCCAGATTTTGGTAAAAACATATTACATTGCAACTACAATTGTAGAATGTGATAAAAATATCTTTTCCGCCACGACACCGGCGTCGTTTACCATTAAACGAGCTCGATGAATCGTAATCTTAATGCAAATATTATTTCAGGTATGTTAATGATTGGAGCGAATGCCGGTATTGTGGGAATGACTAAGGAACATTTGGGCCTTGCTTTAGCGCTGTCTGTACCGGTATTCGTCGTCGTGACAAAAATCGATATGTGCCCACCGAATGTCCTGCAGGAAAATTTGAAGCTGCTGATAAGGATTCTAAAGTCCCCTGGCTGTAGAAAAGTCCCAGTTACAGTTAAGACACCTGACGATGTAGTGGTTAGCGCCACAAATTTTGTCTCAGAACGGTAAATTCGTCGTATCATATATATATATATAAGCTTTATATAAAGAAAAATAATATTATAGTCAGACTACAACAGAGTATTATAATACTTGCAGATTGTGTCCAATTTTTCAAGTATCTAATGTGTCCGGTGAAAATTTAAATCTTCTCAAGATGTTTCTCAATTTGCTGACTGCAAGGATTACTAGTCACGATGATGAACCTGCAGAATTTCAAATCGACGACACATACTCTGTACCAGTATGTATTACTTCATATTACACACACAAATTATATTTTTTTATTACACGCGAATTGTGAATTTCATAATCAAAAATTTCAGGGTGTCGGTACAGTGGTGTCTGGTACAACTTTGAAAGGTATTATAAAGTTAAACGATACCTTGCTATTAGGGCCCGATCCGTTGGGTCGGTTCACGCCTATAGCTGTCAAAAGTATCCACCGAAAGAGAATGCCGGTCCGCGAAGTCAGGGGCGGACAAACGGCTAGTTTCGCCCTGAAGAAGATCAAACGATCGCACATTCGCAAGGGAATGGTAATGGTTGCACCCGCGCTCAATCCACAGGCCAGTTGGGAATTTGAAGGTGAAATTTTGGTGTTACATCATCCTACAACAATCAGTTCACGCTATCAGGCAATGGGTAATTATTTTTTTAAATGATTATCATGCATCGCATCGTACATGTTAATGTACATTGAAAAAATTATTGCAGTACATTGTGGCAGCATAAGGCAAACTGCTTCTATATTGTCCATGTCCCAGGATTGTTTGAGAACGGGCGACAAAGCCCTAGTGCATTTTAGGTTTATCAAACATCCTGAATATATAAAACCTGGACAGAGAATGGTATTTAGAGAAGGTCGTACTAAAGCAGTAGGAAATGTAGTGAAACTTATACCGCATTCAAATAATACCACTATGCAAACATCGAGAATTAATAAGCCGAACAAAGCATCGCAAGCTCGACAAAACACAAATATACAGGTATAATTTACGCAATATGGTATAATTAAAATAGTTATTTCTCTCAATATATTTCATTTACTGTCTTTATAATATAAATAACTGATTTTAATGTAAGAAGCGAAAGTAAGCGAATAGATGTAACTTTGTTGTGTAGGTTTTGGAAATAACCGAAGCTGACTCGATTATCGAGGAACAAACGGCCAAACAAGAAAACGTGCCGCAAAAATCTGGTTTGAATCAGAATAAGAAAAATAGAGGTCGAAGAGGAGGAAGATCTCATGCAATCAACAGTATTCAGCCTTTAACAGAGCAAAACCCTCCTGCAAAAGTATAAGAGCTATCAATGTACAAAAAAAAGCCAAAAAAAAAAAAAAAAAAAAAAAAAAAAAAAAAAAAATTAGTATGCTCTTAAAATTCTCTATTATGTACAAGTTTCTTAAAGGATAATCCACAACATATCAATTTCATTTTACGTTGTGGATTATCCTTCATCTAAATTTTTTTCTCTAAAAAGAAAAAAAATATACTCTACAAAGTTATATTTTACAGTATATATAATAAATTTATTAGACAAACAATTTTACGCATCTCAACTATTAATCGTATTTTCAAAAATATTCTTTTAACAAAATAACAAATCGGTACTTATAGATCATATTATTTTTCTAAAAGACACATGTGCAGATAAAATCAATATCAGGAAATACACATACTGTGTCTTTCATTTCTATGATATAAATATATATATAGTATGTATATGGATGTATACATTTGTATAAGAGAGTGCGAATACAACCCCTTTTTCAATGCCTTCAGATTTTAATGATAAAATTTGACATATTGATGTTGTGTTTCTCATTAGACAGTATATACTTATATCTATATTTATCTACATTGTATAAAAATTTATATATATATATATATATAAATATATATATATATATATGTATATGTATATATATGTACGTACGAATTCAAGTGTGTTGCGATACACAACTGACAATTCCGTGATATTCTTTCTCGGGAGATGTACAAGTTACAGAAACTGATACGAGGCTCGTCACAACGAGAGACAATGTAATGTGAAATCGACATCGGCTAAAACCGGGGCCGTAAACAGCTGGTTAGGGTTAGGTTATCTCGTCGGTGTGACGTTAAGGGAATCAGAAGAATTTTGCTTATCGCTCCTTGACACCTGTTAACACGAATCTTGCTTCACACTTGCCGTTTTCGCATTCTGTGTTTCGACATAGAGATAGTAAATGCATTAGTGCGTGAAGTCGGCTTTCATGTTTTGTGCATTATAACTATTATTATTATTATTATTATTATTATTATTATTATTTAGGATATGGAGAAGTTTTCATGAAAATTAATGCGGAATCTTTTCGAATATTTTTTTTGCCCTGATATTTATTCTAGATATTTTCATCATCATAAAAAAAAAGTCATTTGCAATAGTTTTTCTATTGTTATCATTACTTGGCATAATCGCATTATTAGAGTAATATTCTGTAAAGAACAATGTCGCTCAAAATATCGAATAAAGGAAACGAATACAAGTCACAAGAATAGCATTTATTTAAAAGTATATATATCTTACAATTTTATATCCTTCGTCACATTACCAATTCATTTTATCTTACTGTGATGTAACACTTCTAAAACGCAATTAAAAAATCGCCAGAATGACGAAAAGTTTAATTTATAATTATATATATAAAACAAAATCCAGAATATATATATATTCTGGATTTTATTTTTATAATAGTTTTTACTTTATTTTCAGTTATGTGTATGCGTACAATTGTACAATTGCTATATCTTTTTAATTTACATATATGTCTATAAAATGTAATAAGATTATATTTAAAAAACACATGTAATTTCAATAATGAGCTAAATAAATAAAATATTTACTATAATATGAGACATCTAATGTTTAGACATTTGAAATATTAATCGAAATCAGCACTGCATTTAATATGATAATTGTAAGTAAAGTGTATGAAAATTCTTTTTGGTTTACTAATGTGTACATTGTTAAAAATATATATAGAAAATCATTTTCGCACGTATAAACTCGCAATATAATTTAAATTTATTTAAATTGTGCCGGTTTTAATTGCGTTGTAATTTGCGCCACTTTTAATCTAGTTGTAAGATTGATCTACGATAATATAAATTTTGAATTGAAAATAAAATATAAATTTTGAACTCGAAATTGTCGCAAACTCAACGGAAAACATCAAACAACTGTATAATGGTTTCAGCTACATAAAATATACTAACAATTAATTTTAAATCTTAAATTCTAAATCTGATTAATTTCTAAATTTCAAATCTTAATTAATTTTAAAGCTTTATATTTAAAAGACGATAAAAATAAATCGCTCTACACGATGATCAATTTATCAATAGAAATCTCGCTGATATTTACTGATTTATTTATAATCAGTTATATAAAATTATATATAACATCGTATTACATGTATGTGTGCAGCGAGTCACAAAAATATTCCTTTAATTATAATTTCACAAATAATTTTCATATTTTTTTTTACTAAAAATGTGTGTGTGTGTGAGAGATACCTGTTAATAAAACATTACATACACAAAATAAAAATTCCCAGATAATTTTTTTTTTTTTTAAATAATTAATACTTTAAAGTTAAAAATAGGGGGATACGAATCTTTTGTGACTTACTGTGTTACTAACTGAGACAGTTATCTTTTTTCGCTTTATAAGCATAATAACTAATAACTAATAATTTATTCGTATAATGAGGAAATAACAATCTTTTTTTAATTGTATATTATTTCATCTTTATCACTCATAAGAATCTAACAATACGTAGCACAAATTATCATTGTTGCGAAGAGATTCAATAGTATAAATTAAAAAATTAAATTAGTATAAATCATGGAATTTTTGCGCTTTTCGTCAATGTTATCTAAATGACAGGAAATATTGGAATTTTAGAATAAATTATGGCGAGTAAACTATGATAAATAATTACGCAATTAGTACTATACAAATGTCATGTGCTTAATTAATTGTTAAATGCTTTTCGTTATTCTTTTTTGTTTTCTGAAATCGCGATCAACAAATTGCCTTAAAAAACTTTGCAAGAATTATTAATAATAAAATTCATTAAAAATTAATTTTTTATTATTATTTATATGGTAAATATAAATTATAAATATGGTATAAAATATAAATTGCAAAATTATGAATTACAGAAAAATAATTGTCTTTTATTCCTCTTTTTTTCGTTCTTATCACTGCAAAAAGAAGTACAAAAAAGATACATACAATTATAATACATACAATTATTAAGTGACATCTTAATGATAGATGGATGATGATTTTAAAACTGACTTGGTAAAACTTGAAGATGCGCAGTCATTCGTTGTAACGTATCAGTTAAAGGAACGTTAAACAATGAGTTGACAATTCAAAAAGGATGTTGAAATTCAATAAAAACGATAATAATAAATGCTAAAGAGAAAAATTTACTTAACTTACATTTTTTTGCGGACCTCATATTACTTTTCTAGTTAATGTTTGTATTTTTTATTTAATTTATATTTAATAAACTGTATATTTTTATATTTGGATATTTATTTCTTTATTTGTGTATTGTGTAACATTTGCAATTTCTTATAAACGATTTAAATCAAACGTTGATATTATGTATATCTTTTTTAGTATCACAAGAATAAGCGCGATATATATAAAAATTATAAAATACTTATAGATAGATAAAACTGAAATTTATAGCGGTTTCGATTCACACGCTTCTGATCAAACTGTGTATATCAATAATTTTCATGTTTGAAACTCGCGTTTTTAATCCTTCTATTATCAATTTGTTTTTCTTCTGCGATATTTGTATATATCGATGAAAATGATTAATCACTTCGGCGACAGAGAAAAACAAACAGAAAATTATCCTCTCAAATTGAGAGAGATAGCTAATGTACTAAAAGTTGATATAATTAGAAATAGCGGGCAATAAAATATAAATGCGACGGTCTTTATGTTATCATATATATATATATATATATATATTATTGATTAAATATAAAAATTGAGGTGTACACATAAGGAGAGATAAGAATTTTTATAATAAACAAAAATTATTATTATTATATACAAAATTTATGGTAGGCCTATATATTGAGATATTTTTCCGAAAAGTTCGAGAAAACAACGCACACATATATACAGGGTGTCCGGAATCAATCGCATCACCCGTTGTGTGCAGATAGAGCGGGTTAAACCGAGGAGAAAAGTCCTCCACTATTTTGCGATTTTCGTAATAATTATTGAGAAATTAATTTTTAAAAATCGACCAATTCTTGCGTGCGTGACCATTATAAGTGCGTGACGAGAAGAGTCGGCCCAAAAGTTTGCGGTTGTTAAGTGCGCGACGAAGTTTTGGGAGGTGCGCTCTACAAATGAAAACGGTTACGTACGAGCGGTACATAACGCTGGATTCTCGCATCCTAGCAACCACATATCAATGGGATGTCCCTTTCTATCGTGCGCTTATACTCGCGCGAATTGATCGATCTTTTTTAATTTATTTTTCAATAATTATTGCAAAGATCACAAAATGGTAAAAGACTTTTCTCCTCGGTTTTACCTGCTCTACCTGCACACGACGGGTATCGCGATTGACTCCGAACATTCTGTATATGCAGCTATATGAAAAGCAATTGTCAAATATACTTCTGGCTTCAATTCAGAAATACCTGTTTAAAACAATAAATAGAGACTTTCTGAACAGAAAGAGAGGAAGAGAGAGAGAGAGAGAGAGAGAAATTGGATTTAATTACCATCAATCTTATCAGTATCGTGCGATTCAAACACGCCATCAATTAAAATAAGACTTATCTTCGGCCGAAAAGACCGTCAGTTCTCAGACGACACTAAAAAAAAAGAAAAAAAAAGAAAAAAAAGCGGAATATCATGTTCATTCGATTCGATTTAATTATCCCATAAAAGCCGTTATCGACAGTTTTAAGCTCGAGGCACGTAAGATGGACTGTTATAATGATTATGTGCCTCGTGCTTTGGCGAACGCACGTGCAGCGCAAAATCTTGCACCGAACTGCACTCGAAACCCGGACAGTATATGCATATGTAACGCTCCGGATTTTGCGACACCTGCAGCATCGTGTTCATGAGCATTACATTAGCCGAGTTCGCCGGTACCGCATTGTTTGGCGCCAACTGGTAAGGCACGCTGTCTTTAGACAATAGGGTTGGATAATTACGCACATCACTGACCACACTTGTGTGCTGCTGCTGCTGCTGTTGTTGTTGTTGTTGTTGTTGCTGCTGCTGCTGCTGTTGCTCCAGATATGAGGATGGTGGTTGTGGGGGTCTGGGTACTTGAATAGTTTGCATAAATGGTTTAACCGCCATGGTGCCGCCATTGTGGTGGCCAAGTTGAACCGTCGTGCTTATCGGATAAGCGATCTGAGGCGGTAAGTTTTGATGGTAGATCGGCTTCTGTTGCGTCATTTGTTGTGGCACGACAATGGAATTATTCAACGACGGGATCCACGACAGATTGTACTGCGGTGCCTTATTCAGTTTCATCATCTGGTTCATTGGTGTATTATACGTGACCTTGTGCAACGGCTTTACGCCGGCTACTTGATATTGTCGGGAATTGCTGAAATCGATTACTCGATTTAATGGACGTACGTTGCCAGATGGATGCACGCTGCCGGATGGAGGCGCGTTGCCGCATGAAGATGCGATACCGGATAGAAGCGCATTGCCGGATGGATGCATGTTGCCGGATAGAGGCGCGTTGCTGGATAGAGGCGCGTTGCTGGATAGAGGCGCGTTGCTGGATAGAGGCGTGTTACCTGTAATCACCGAAGGAGATTGAGGGACATGATGTTGAATCTGTGTTATGTGCCTCGAGGGATTAAACTTCGACTTCTCTGATGTATATGCTCGATTTACGTTCTGCTCGTTCTGAGAAATGTGCACGTACTTATGCTTTATCAATTTGTACAGGCTATCGAAGAACAGACCACACGTTTGACACAAAAAATTCTGCGATGGAACGTCCGTTAGTTCTGCCAAGGATTTTACGCGTAGAAAAGATTTGGGTATCGAGCTCATGGCGTTCTGCGGTAACGCGTCCTTGGCTCTTTCTCCGGCAGGTTTCGCGCTTAAAGACATCGACCCATTATCCGCGCTATTCTCGCATGGACTGTCGGCTAGTTGTGTCGTTGCCGTTGAATTCAAAATATTCGTACGATCGATGATTGTTACGTTATCTTGTGAAACATTTACATTTGCTTTGAGCTGTGTTACGAGCTCTCTTGTCAAACTAATTTCGGTATTTGAATTCAAAGTCGTCAAATTAACTTTGACATTTGAATTCAAAGTTGTTAAATTAACTTGGGCATTTAAATTCAAAGTCTTGCTAACATTGCCAGAAGTTTCTACAGAGGCAGCGGTCGGAGAAGCATCGTTGAAACATTGTCTCTGTTCATCAGGGATAAACGCGGTAGCATCGGACGTCGTAGCGCTTCTTTGCGTATCGTTACATTTAACGGAAGACGCGTCACCGAATTTTCTCGACTCGGCCTTTCTGATCACATTCGACATTAAATTCTCCTCATTCTCCGACATCACTATTGTCAACTCCTCCTCATCTGAATCATCGAGATTCTCCGAATTATCGTTGCTATTCTTACTCTTCTCGTTATCGCCATTTTCTGCCGCTTGTATTGATTTCGCCACATCAATCGAGGGGACTTGCGCGAGTGACTTTTGCTGGACATTCGCGTCATTCCCGATAGCTTGTGTCTCTTTACTGGAAGATACCAGTGATAATTCTTGCGATGTTGTCTCGTCTCTTATGGATTGTTTATTTTTAGACAACAAATTTTGCTGTACAGAAGCCCTCAACTGTTCTTCCTGAATCGGATTATCATCTGCAATAATCTTCTCGGAAGATTCTTTTCCATCAAAGGAACTCAAACTCGCGCAAGGTATATGATCGTCGTTTATAGCGGCTTGTCGTATATTCGTCTCAAAGTTCTGGTCGCGATAAAGCACTTTACACGAGATCGGTTCATGTTGTTTTTCGGCACCGTTCCTGTGTGTAATTGCATGTTCTTGAAATAGATCGATGGTGTCGTAATGATTCTGGCAGAGAGAGCATATGTAGACTTCCTGTAGTGTATCGTGAGTCATCCAATGCTCCTCGAAATTTTTCAGAGATTTCCACATGGTCGTGCACACTTTGCAGATAAACACCTTCGTAATGGCAGTAACGGTGACGCAAGTGTAATGCGAGTGCAGCTCCCGTTTCTGTTTGTGCCCCAACGAATGCAGCTCGAAGTGCGCCCTATTGTAAAATGTCTCATTGCAAAATCCACATACCAGCAAAATCTGCATCTTCTTAGACATGACCGAGCTTGCGTTCCTGCTATCCGAGGATCCACTATCGCTGGCAGCGGCGGCAGCCTTGTATGGACAGAGCACTTTGTGCGACTTCAGATTCTCTTCCAAAGTGAAAAGCGCATTGCATTCTCGGCACCTGTAATCGGCTACTTGTATATAAACTTCGATCTGTTTCTCGTTATCCACGGCTGACAGCGTCTCGTTGTCCACGGCTGGCAGCGTCTCGTTGTCCACGGCTGGCAACGTCTCGATGAGTTTCATGCTGACATAGGCAATTTTCGGAAATGACAAGCGACTAGCCAAAAACAACCGGTTCTTCACATGATTGTGGAAATGGTTATTGAACAGAGGTCCTTGCGAATAGAAGATCACTTTACATATGTTGCAGAGGAAAGACAGTCTTAAGATTTTGCGAATGAGTCGGGCATGCATTATCAGATGAGTCTGCAATTCCTGGATAGAGTTCAGCGTTTTTTGACAGGTGACACACAACAATTTGGGTGTCCTGTTGCGTCGTCGATTCTTGGCGCAAGATGCATGAACGGCGCGCTGACAATGTGTCTCAAAGCATTCAAGGCGTCGAAACAGAGTCTGGCAGGGATCGCACAATAACACTATCTCAATCTGAATGTTGTGAGTCTCCTTGACTGTCTTGGGTCTGTGACACTTGCAGATGACAATAGACTCTTTCTCTTTCTCCACATATCGAATACTGTCCGTCCTGTGTTCGACGTCATTAGCTGCAGACATCGATTGTTCTTTTTGTAAATTTTGCTTCATCTCTGCTTGTAATAAATTTGAAGTTTTGTCTCTCTTCTTAGCCGCATTGCGCTGCGACACTTCCAAAGCAGCCACATTTCGATCAGTGTTCGATTCGTTTGCGTTCTCTAATCCTTTCTCCTGCACGTCGACACTGATTCTGGTCTCTTTAGTAGCTGCTTCTACTTCTATTAAAGTATCGGGAACTCGATGATTGTTTTCGTTAGTCTTTTGATGATTGTTTTCGTTAGTCTTTTGATGATCGTTTTCATTACTCTTTTGACGCGTGGAGATATCATTTTTGCTCGGTGTATATGCATTCTTGATAACGCGATTTGCATGTTTAAACATATGTTCGAATAGCTGCAAATAGCTATTAAAGAATCGTAAGCAAACTTTGCATTGTTTTCCTTTATCGCTGTTCACGCTATGGGAGTTTTGACGCCTAATTTCTGCAAGCTCTGTTCCACTTCGCGATCTTAGATTCAAATCAGAGTTTGACTTTACAATCAATCTGGTTTTGGTTTTTGTTTGCGGCGTCCATAAACGCTTGCTCTGTATTTCGCTGCCACTCGACAATGATGAGAACGAAGGTGAAATGGTTTCTTCAGCGGTATTACTAAGAGTTCGATTGAATTTGTGAAAGTCACTTTCTATATTAACAGAAGAATTTTGTTGAGACGTCGATGGTTTTGAACACTTATTTTTGTCTTGACAAATTTTATCCCTTATTATTTTTTCATTTTTCGTGGATTCTATGCGTTTCGATGCATTGTGACGCAAAGAACTCGTGACTTTTTTACATGAATTAATCGCCATGTGTTTTTGTAGCGATTGGTAATTCTCGAACGACATACTACATATAATACACTTAAATTTATCTTTGCGCAATAACTGATTAATGCTCCATATTTCTGACGTCTTCGACATCTTTATAGGTGTCGTATCATTGATTAATGGTTGAAGATTGCTCGGTTTCTCAAATGATTTTAATGACATTTTCTCCACAATCTGTTTGTTTGAATTCAAGGAAGAATCTGATACGATAATATTCTCTTCTATAACATCTTTACGTGGACTTTTAGAAATGGTGCTATTTTTAGATTGAAGATCGTTCTTAGCGATAGTTTCTTCAACTCTTGCGTTACTTGAAAAATTCGTATCATTAGTGAATAATTCGAATTTAGATGTCTTGTTACACTTTGTCGATTGTACTGATTGTTGTTTGTTTGACAAAGCATGTTTTCCAGGTGATTTTACTGATATATTATCTTTTATGGAAGATGTAGATGTGGAAGCCAGAGAACTGGAAATTGAATTCTTACATTCCGCGTCCGCCAATTTCTTTGGCGAGTTTCGCGAAATGGAGACTGCTTTTGTTAATGTCGACTGAACAGAAGCGGATTGCTTGCCATTCGTTTTTTGCGGTTTCCTCACGGATTTTTGTGTACAAAATGCATTTCTCCATATTTCTAGAAGCGACTTCTGCGGCGAATTACTGTTTTTGCTTCTCGACATTTTTGGTGATAAATTTTTATACAGGCTTTGGCTAGAGATGAATGCAAAATTAACATTCTTGTTACTGCTACTTTCCACAACTTGATCATCTGCAAAAATTAAGCATAAATAACATATCAATGATAAAATCAATAATCGACAAGATTATAAACAAATAATATTACTACAATCAATAATATCGCTTAATACTATTGCTTAAAATTATTGCCTAATATTATCTTTTAAACAATAGTTGTAATATATACATATATATATATATATATATGTTTATAGGATAGCCTGCCAAAAAAGATTATCGCAACTTTCCAATTTTCAATATTTATCAAATTAAAATTCAATCAAAATAAAATATCTACTTGGAATTCAATAAAGAATATGTTATTATTTCTCTGAAGCTTAATTTTGAAACTTTTTATTTTCAATTTCTTGTAACATTAGAAAATTTATTTTAAATTTATGTTTTTACCTTTTTATTTTAAAGTATAAAATTATTTCAAAATTTTTTATGGAAAAAGTTGGTTTAAAATTAACTAAAGAATCTATGGTTTAAAAGAAATGTATAGTAAGAAACGCCCTACAGTAATTAACTTAATCTGAAAAATATCTAAAATATATTTGTATATACAACTTTTTAAAGAAAGAATTTCTTAATATTAATTGCACGAGATTTCGAAAGACTAGTATGACAATATACCAATTTTTTTAGTTCTGATTTTTTCAGTAATGTTACAAAACACTAAAGTTTTATAAAAAAAACATACTTCAAATAATAACACGTTAGACAAATCAAAATTAATATTCAGCAATAAAAAAAA